AACAACAACAACAACAACTCATAGTGACACTGCATAAAGTTACTGAGGAGTAAATGGTTTGAACCAGCAACCTTGTGATTAATAGTCTAGTGCTTATCTTAGGGAGACTCAAGCAGTTTATATTCATAGAAAGTATCTCCAGAAGGCACTCACTACAAATGATGCAACTTGTTTTTCTCTTTAAAGGTTTTGTGAAAGCTTCTCAATTAGTATTAGGTCTTTAAATTAATGATGTACTTTGTCTTTTTTCTTCCTCGGGTTTCATTATTCCAGCCAAATGATATTTGAAAACCATTAATTATATTGAAAAATAAAATGGTTTTCAGATCACAATCCTGAAAAATCAATGCCTTCCATTAAGTTTGGATTCACATGGAAATCCACCCAGACTTCTGCTGCCATTGGTTATAAGCTCATGCCTCTTGAGGTTTAACTTAGATTCTAAGGTCTAAGGAAAAAAAAAAACAACTCCGGGATGACATGCAGATCTCATGAAAATATATGTTTTGTATCTTACTTCCAGTGTTTTGGCCTTTTAAAGCCTTGATTATATAACTACCACCAAATAACTAGGTGGGACTGTGCAAACTAGCTACTTAAGGTAAATAAGGCACATGGCACCCTTGTGGAGACTATTGCTGTTGTTGTTGTTGTTAGGTGCCTTCGAGTCAGTACCGACTCATAGCGACCTTATGCACAGAAGAACCAAACACTGCCCGATCATGGGCCAACCTCACTATTGTTGCCACACTTGAGTCCACTGATGCTGTCATTTTGCCAATCCATCTCACTGGGGGTCTTCCTCTTTTTCTCTGACACTCTACCTTACCAAACATGATATCCTTCCTCCAGAGACTGGTCCCTCCTGACAATATGTCTGAAGTATGAGAGACGAAGTTTGGCCATCTTGGCCTCCGAGGAGCACTCTGGCTTGCACTTCTTCCAACACAGATCTGTTGGGTTCTTTTGGCAGCCCATGACACTTTCAATATTCTCCTCCAACACCATAACTCAAAAGCATATATGGCTTGGGTCAGGTGCACAAACTGACATCTTTGCTCTTCAACACTTTAAGACGTCTGGTGCAGCAGATTTGCCTAATGCAATATGTTGTTTGATTTCTTGACTGCTGCTTCCTTGAGTGTTGATAGTGGATCCAGGAAGAATGAAGTCCTTGAAAACTCTAATCTTTCCTCCGTTGATAAGAATGTTGTTTATTGGTCCAGTGGTGAGGATTTTTGTTTTCTTTATATTGAGATGCAATCCATACTAAAGGCTGTGCTCTTTCATCAGTAAATGTTTTAAGTCTTCATCACTTTCAGCAATCAAGGTTGTATCATCTGCATATCGCAGGTTGTTAATGAGTCCTTCTCTAATCCTGATGACACCTTTTTCTTCATATAACCCAGCTTCTCGGATTAACTGCTCAGCATACAGGTTGAATAAGTATGGTGAAAAAATACAACCCTGTCTCACACCTTTCTTAATTTTAAACCATTCAGTGTTCCCATGTTCTGAACAACTGCCTCTTGATCCATGTACAGATTCCTCATGAGCACAATCAAGTATTCAGGAATACTCATATTCGCAATGTTGCCCATTAGCATAGTGGTTACGAGTCAGCCTGCCAACCTCAATGTCAGCCATCTGAAACTACCAGCTGTTAAGCAGAAGAAAGATGAGGCATTCTGCTCCCATAAAAATTTACAGCCTTAGAAACTCTGAGAAGGGTCACTATGAGTCAGAACCGACTCTATGGTACTTATCAACAACAACTTGTGGAGATGATGTTGTTAAATGCTGCTGAGTTGGTTCCAACTCATAGTGACCCTCACAGCATTTCCAAGGCTGCAAATCATTCTTCCACAGAATGGCTGGTGGACTCTAACTGCCAATCTAGTGGTTCACAGTTCATTACTTATCCTACAGAGCTACCATGTAAATAAGGTATATGGAAACCTAGCGAGGCATTGGTCAGTGTTACTTCTCACTAGTCAGAAAATAAGCCATTCCATATGTTGAAAGGAGAGGTCTCACTCTTCACTAAGAAGAGAATGTAGCATGCTATTTGGACCTACTCTCTCTGTTGGGATCCTCCTGGACTCAGGAGACAGAGAGCAGTAACACAAGGGATGGTGAGAGCAGTAACAGTGAGAAGCAGTGCCAGAGAAATAGCAGCAGCAGTGGCATCAGAACCAGGAGACTGGCAAAATAGCACAGAGGGCTTCGCAGCCCATGAAGCAAGAGGCTTATAATGGATGTGCCAACCCACTGAGTGAGAGAGCTGAGTATCTTTGGGAAGGAAGCTTGCTGGTAGAGTGGGGTGCCTCTAGGCACTTACCAGCACAGCTAAAGAGCTTTTAACACTTGCCCAAGAAAGCCTGGCCAGCCCAAAGAGCCAAGAAAGGCAAGCTTGTGGACACAACTGAGAAGAAACTGTCCTGACTGAAGAACTATATCCTAAATGGACACTGCATTATAATCCCATTAACTGTGAGTACGGTCTGTCAGTTCTGTGTGGTTAGTGCAATGAATTATCAAGCCCAGCAGAGAAGAGGAGTAGCATGGGAGGGACAGTTGATGTTAGAACTGGTTAACAGGTTAGAGGGTAGAGGTATATTCGACCTCTGCCTCATAAGAATCAGCCTCAGAATTCTGCTGCTGATGAAGGATGACACTACAGCCACTGCATTTTCAAATTACCCAATAGCGACAGAAAGAAATGAAGTACAGAGTGCCCAGTATACAAGAAGCAAAAATCTTTCAGTGTTGCCTGATTAACTTTATGGGATACCTATCTTATATCCCAAAATATCTGAATGTAGATTTAAATACACAAAAAAATACAGCAAATAGTGGTGAATGCTCAGCACAAATATAATCACTGATGTGAGTTAACAGAGACCCAGGGTTTTCATGATCTAGATCTTCTGATGTCTGACAGAGAGGAAGACAATGGGTGAAAGTGAAAAGTTCCTCTTTCTAAACACCTGGTGCAAAAAAAGCAAAAATTGTGCCAAACAGGAAGTTTTAAAGTATTTGAGGGGAATTTGTTGTTGTTGTTAGGTACCATCGAGTAGGTACTGACCCATAGCGACCTTATGCACAGCAGAATGAAACACTGCCCGATCCTGGGCCAACCTCACTATTATTGCCACACTTGAATCCATCGATGCTGCCACCTTGCCACCTAGGGGTCTTCCTCTTTTCCTCTGACCCTCCACCCTACCAAACATGATATCCTTCTCCAGCGACTGGTCCCTCCTGACGATATGTCCAACGTATGAGAGACAAAGTTTGGCCATCTTTGCCTCTAAAGAGCACTCTGGCTGCACTTCTTCCAAAATGGATATATTGGATCTTTTGGCAGCCATGGCACTTTCAATATTCTCCTCCAACACCATAATTCAGAGCATGAATTGTTCTATGGTCTTCCTTATTCACTGTCCAGCTTCCTCATGCATATGAGGTTATTGAAAATACCATGGCTTGGGCATTTTCAATACCCAAGGGGAATGTTGTTATGTGCCATGGAGCCGGTTCCGACTCATAGCGACAGGGTTTCCGAGGCTGTAAATCTTAACAGGAGCAGAAAGCCTCTACTTTCTCCCGCGGATCAGCTGGTAGTTTCGAACTCCTGACCTTGCAGGTCACAGCCCGATTCGTACCCACACTACCACAGCCCCTTACCCAAGGGGAATAAAACAATTCTTTTCTCATTTGATTTAGTATGTTGACAGGTATTTGCTCTCCTTTCTTCAGGATTCTTCATTTCACTCCATCTTAGTGATAAATTTTGGGTCAGAATATGAAGCTGTTTTGGAGATTCTGAGGCCATTCTTCCGGTTTCATTGGTGCTCTCTCCCTGGTGATGGTAAAATCTCACAAGGTGCATACTGTAGACTATAATAAGAGGCCTTGAGTACCCAACAAAGAGAGTTAGAATTAAGGAAGCATAATGATTCAGAGTCACAGATGTAATCGAGTAAATCATGAGAAAGGTATGCTACACCTCTCTCCTAACCTCAGATTCCCATGATGTAAAAAGAGGTTAATGATAAAGGCAAGATATTAGACCTGTAAAATATTAACCAAATGCAGGATATGAGTTCCTGCCTCAAGGGTAGAAGTCTGGGAGGGGACAATACAGTAAAAAAGATCCCACTAAATGCTCCTTTCCTACTACCAAACACAACGAACACCCTAAACAATTTAAAGCATATACAAGGGGGCTTTAAAATGTTTTTGAGAAGAATGAATCGAAAGGTAATGGAATTTTCCAATGAACTTTATTAAGTTCCCTCATATACTCAAACATGTGTATACATCAGTCAATAAATTTTATATTCAATACAGTAGTTTCTTGCCTCAACGGTACTTAAAACAACAGCATGCTATATTGCTTACATTAAATTAAAAAGTATAATGAAAAATAAGCTTTAAATCTCAATGTACTAAGTACGTTTTCGGCTATGATGATGTGAAAAGGTTAACTTTACCTCCTCTTACAAATCCATTAGTAGCTATTGCTGAAGTAGACAGTCCTGTGATAGTTGTCACAACAGTGGCCATCATTATTACAAGGACCGACAGACCTTTAAGGAAAAAGAAAAAAGACTAAGCATACTAACACTTACTCTTATTTAAAACTGACATAGCTAGAAACAGTTAGTCCAAGGCACATTAAATTTATCTTTCAATTTAGAGATTATTTTGATGCTATTTTCTAAATATCAAATTATGAAAAAGTTAACATTACATTAACCTGGTAACAGCTCCAAATACTTCAATTTCTTGAATTTTATGAGGTTAAGAGTCCAGATACGGACACAACTAGTTTGCTTATTCATTATACTTAAATGAATCAGGCAGTACACCTAACTTCACTTACCTATTCCGGCTTGACCCACAATCCAGGACAATCTAATAAAGAGCATCACACCCCAAATATTTAACATACAACGTACCTAGAAGGAAAAACATGAGGCCAAGTCATATATGAAGAAAAATGAATAAATAGAATACAGTGATAAATGCTAAACTAGCCCAAATTAGGATAACATGTAAATGAAACTACTAAAGTATTTTTTAAAATGAACTTGTACACCAACATTTTCTTGCAGTTTTAAAACAGTATGTGTAATTCTTATACACATTTGCACACACATACACACATATTCATCCATCCATCCAATCATTCATGCATCTATCCTCAGGTATCTGAAAAGACAAAAAAGAAAATTCACAATTATCTAAAGAAGCAGAAGTAACTGAACAAGAAAAATACACGGAATATTTTTAAGACTTTAGCCTTTAAAAAAAAGTAGTTAATTCTCCCTTTTATAAATGCAAATGAGCTTAATATTCTTATTCCTAAACTTCACATTCTACATAAAGTTCACATCCTACATAATTTTTACAATTTTATACACGTAATTATATAGTGCTCATACATAGAACATTTGCTGTTTTTGTTAAGTGACAACAAGTCAGTTCCAACGCATAGCCTATATAAGGTTTCAGAGGAGTGGCTAGTGGGTTTGAACCATCACCTTGCATTTCAAATCAATGGTGTGGTCCAAAGCTTATCTTACAGCACCACATCAGGACTCCACAGAACATCGCCGTTGTTTAGTGCTGTCAAGTTGGTTATGACTCATCGACCCTGTATGGGTTTCCGAGGAGCAGCTGGTGAGTTTGTACTATCGACCTTGGGCTTTGAAGAACAGTGCCATAATACTGTAAGTGTTTAACAGAAGTACCAGGGGCTTTACAGTCACCCTTACTGATTAGGCAATAAATTACTACTAGATTTTCCTTCCTATTTCTCCAAATCAAATATTTCAAAAGCCCCAATGAAAGTCAATTTAGTCTGTCTAGTAAGGAGCACTGACGATGTAGCGGGTCATACACAGGATTGCTAACCACAAGGTCAGCAGTTCAAACCCACCAACCACTGCACAGAAGATGAGGCTATCTGCTCCTGAAAAGACTTAGGTCTTAGAAACCAAAGGGGCAGTTCTACTCCATTCTATAGGGCTGCTATGAGTCAGTATCGGTTCAATGGCACTGGGCTGGGTTTTCATCAGTTCAGTTCAGTGTACCTTAATCACCCAAGCCTGTCTACAAAGTGAACTCAGTGCTAAAAAAAATTTCTCCTTTTTTGTTCACTATTATATTTCCAGAAACTTCTTTTCAAAACAGAATGGAATAGGCAGGGAAATGCAAGCATACTTCAGTTCTATTGATTACTCAGATTTTTTTATTTAGGTGAAATTTCCAATTTAATCCAACACTTGTCTTCAGTATGTCATATTGTAGTAGCTTGTGTGTTGCTATGATTCTAGAAGCTATGCCATCAGTATTTTAAATACTAGCAGGGACACCCATGGTAAACCAGTTTTAGCCGAACTTCCAGACGAACATAGACTAGGAAGAAGGAGAAATGGGCTACTTCTAAAAGTCTTATGAATAGCAGTGGAATACTGTCAGATAGCATCAAAATATGGAATATTGAAACATGATGACGTGCACCAGAATATAATCAGAAGAAAATTAAAACAAGTCCACAAAAGCTAAAATATGACCTTGACATATCCTTCCTGAATTTACAGATCATCTAAGAACAGATTTGATGTGTTAGATACTAAAGACCAAAGAGCAGAAGAGTTGTGGGATGACATCAAGAACATCATCCAGGAAGAAAGCAAAAAGTCATTAAGAAGACAAGAAAGAAGGAAAAGACCAAAATGAAGGTCAGAAGAGACTCTGAAACTTACTCTCCAGAGTAGAGATGCTAAAGCAAATGGAAGAAGCAAGGACGTAAAAGAACTAAATAGAAAATTTCATAGGGCAGCTTGAGAATACAGTCAAATATTGTAACAAAATATGCAAACACCTGAAGTTAGAAAACCAAAACGGAAAAACACGCTCAGCATTTCTCAAGCAGAGGAAATTAAAGAAAAAATTCAAGCCTCAACTTGCCATATTGAAGGATTCTATGGGCAAAATATTGAATGATGAAGAAAGTATCAAAAGAAAATGGAAGGAATACAGTCACTGTACTAAAAAGAAATGGCCAATGTTTACCCATTTCAAGAGGTAGTATATGATCAAGAGACAATAATACTGAAGGAAGAAGCCCAAGGTGCACTGAAAGCACTGGCAAAGAACAAGGCTCCGAGAACTGATGGGATACATATGAAAACACTTCAATGAATTGATGTAGTAGTGGAATCACTCACTCATCTATGCCAAGAAATTCAGAAGACAGTTTTCTGACCAACTGATTGGAAGAGATCCATATTTGTGCCCATTAAAAGAGAGATGACCCAATAGACTGTGGAAATCATAGGATAATATTAATATCGCATGTAAGGAAAATTTTGCAAAACGTAAATAAAGAATGGCTGCAACAGTACATTAACAGAGAATTACCAGAGGGTCAAGCCAGATTCGGAAGAGGATGTGTAACAAGGGATATTACTGCTGACATCAGATGGATGTTGACTGAAAGCAAAGCATACTATAAAGATTTTACCCGCGCTCTAAGGAGCTCTAAGGAGCTCTGGTAGCGTAGTGGTTATGAATCGGGTTGTGAACCTTAGGGACAGCGGTTCAAAACTACCAGCTGTTCCACGGGAGAAAGATGAGGCTTTCTACTCCCGTAAAGATTTACACCCTCGGAAACCCTGTACAGGGTCGCTATGAGTCGGTTCCGACTCCACGGCACATAACTACCACCACCACAAGGAGCTCTGGTAGCATAGTGGTTAGGCATCGTGCTGTGAACCAAAAAGGTCAGCAGTTCAAAACTACCAGCTGTTCTGCGGGAGAAAGATGAGGCGTTCTGCTCCCGTAAAGATTTACAGCCTCGGAAACCCTGTACAGGGTTGCTAAGAGTCAGAACTGACTCCATGGCACATTAACAACAACAACATAGTGACTATGCAAAGGCTTTTGACTATGTGGATGACAAGTTATGGACAACACTGCAGAAAATGAGTATTCTGGAACACTTAATTGTGCTCATGAGGAACCTGTACATAGACCAAGAGATAGTTGTTTGAATAGAACAAGTGGAACACTGAATGGTTTAAGGAAAGAAGTGTGCCAGGGTTGTATTCTTTCACCATAGTTATTCAATCTGTATACTGAGCACACAATCTGTGAACCTGGATTATATGAAGAAGAACGTGGCATCATAATTGGAGGAACCCTCATCAACAACCCATGATATGAAGATGATACAGCCTTGCTTGCTTAAAGCAAAGAGGACTTAAAGTATTTATTAATGAAGATCAAAGACCACACCCTTCAATATGGGTTGCACATCAGTGTAAAGAAAACAAAAATCCTAATCACTGTACCAATAAATAACCTCCATATAAATGGAGGTAAGATTGAAGTTGTCAAAGACTTCATTTCACTCAGATCAGAAATCAAATGATTTACTTTACTGCATTAGGCAAATCTGCTGCACAAGATCCCTTTAATGTGTTGAAGAGGAAACATGTCAGCTTAAGCACTAAGGTGTGCCTGACCCAAGCCATGGTATTTTCAATAACCTCATATGCATGCGAAAGTTGGACAGTGAATAAGGAAGACCACAGAAGAATTGATGCATTTGAGTTATGGTGTTGGAGGAGGATATTGAAAGCGCCATTGACCGCCAAAAGAACAAACAAGTAGGTGTTGGAGGAATTATAGCTAGAGTGCTCCTTGGAAGCCAGGATAGCCAGACTTTGTCTCTCATATCTCAGACATACTATCAGGAAGGAGCAATCCCTGGATAAGGACATCATGCTTGGTAAAGTGGAGGATCAGAGAAAAAGAGGAAGACCCCTCCCACCAACGAGATGGACTGGCACAGTGTCAGCAGCAATGGACTCAAGGGTAGCAACAACTGTGAGGTTGGCACAGGACTGTAGGCAGTATTTCGCTCTGTTTTGCACAGGGTCACCATGAGTTGGTACTGACTCAATGGTACCTAACAATAACAACAAAAATTTGATAAATAGGTAAATAATAAAATATAATTATTGTTGGTGTTGTTAACTGTTGTCGAGTTGGTTCCAACCCATAGCAACCCTATGTAGGGTTTCCAAGGAGCAGCTGGTGAGCTTGAACTATTGACCTTGTGGTTCAAACCAACTTTGCAGTCTAGCGCATTAACCCATAGTGCCACCCACACCAGGATTCCAAACGTAATTGTTGTTAAGTGCTGTCAAGTCGATTTTGACCCATAGCGACTCTGTATAGGGATTCCAAGGTACAGCTGGTGAGTTTGAACCTCTGACCTTGCAGTTCAAAGCAACTTTGCAGTCCAGCTCATTAACTCATAGCAGAACTCTAAAATATAATTGTTGTTGTTAAGTGCCGTCGAGTCAGATCCGACCCATAGCAACCCTATACAGGGTTTCCGAGGAGTGACTGTTGAGCTTGAACCACCAACCCTGCAGTTCAAATGGCTTTGCAGTCTGGCGCATTAACCCACAGCACCACAAATTGGTTAAATTGAATTTTACACCCAAAAGAAAAGAAGTGCAAGTTATTAACTTGGTCTTCCATAGTACTCGGAGAAGACATTTCAAAACAATAAAGTTCTTTTGAGACCTAATGAGAACAGTAGGAAGATTTTATGATAAGTAAAAATGCTAGACTGCAAAATTTAAGTTTAAGTATACTTACTAATACACCTTTTATCCAGCCAAACTTCACAACTCCTTTACTTTCAGCTGCATATGTGACCACAGCATCTCTAGTTGGAGTACTTTCCTCTCCATTTGCAAAGCCATCCTCAAAAGGTTCCTGGTTATACAAGAAAATGAAAATGATGCATAAGAATGCTTTGAAATTTAAATGAAAACCACCTGATTAAAACAAGCATAACAAACATGAATAAAAACAAGCAGGCACTTAACCATATTTAGGATAACACAATATAGACAAATGTTTAAGAATAGAGGTTTGCTGAAATTTTTACCTCAGCCAAATATAAAGTAATAAAGTAGAAAAATTCTGTTACTGCAATTAAAAAAAAAAAGGTCACCATGACAATAAACCTATTTTAATAGTTCCAAATATTAACTAAAATTGGTACTGTCTTTAAGAACACAATGAGTATCGTTTCCTAGTCCTGGTGCGGTGCTGTAGTTACTGGACTGCTAACCACAAGGTCAGAGGTTCAAATCCATCAATTGCTCCTCAGGTGAGTGAGTCAAAATGAACTCAACAGTACTAACAACAGTAGAGACTGGCTAGTCGGTATTTTAGACCACCTTCGAGATTTTGCTTGCTTTTCAGCCACAACTACACATTGCCCAGTTGCCACCTTTCCCATTATCTGAAATTTCAAGGTTCACCACTTAAAATTTCACATCCTCACTCATGACCAGTTTCCCCCTTTAAATCCATGATAGCTGATTTCCATGAGTCCCATGATTCTTCTGTAACTCCTCCCTCTACTTGCACTATATCTCCACTTATGTAGTCAAAGCCAAACTCCCTGCCTTGAGGTCATGGACAGAGAACTACAGGACAGAGAACTACTTCAGAGGGTTTTTGAGGCATAGCTGGTGGGTGGACCTTTTAGTTAGCAGCTTCATACTCAACCTACTGGATCACCGGGACTTCTTAATCACCAGTGCCCTTAATTTTTCCTAAGAAATTTTTCTGAGAATGAGCCTTATCATTAACTGGTTCAGTTCATTTCTGGTTTGATCCACTGGCAGAAATCTAAAGTGAGTCAAGAGGCATCTAAATGTATAAGAAACCTGTTTTTAGATTCCACTTAGGGTTAAGATTGATATTTGGCAGGCCTGAAAGAAAGAAAAGTTTGCTCATTAGTAAGTACACTTTACCAATTTTCTGATTATAAAGGCAATTAAATTACAATGGCCCAAGTACAACAGTGGTTCAGCAACAACTAGAACTTAAAAACCTAAAGGGAAACACTAGTTGTGGTGAGAGAAAACAAAAATAAGGAAAAAAGTAATTATGAAACTGTATTATAAAGCTATATTTCAGTCTTTCCTTAAATGTAATAATTGCCCAATAAATCAATCGTTATTTAATCCTGTAAACAAACAGGTCTTTTAGTAATGCAAACTATTAGTGCTTGACTTCTAACCTAAAAGTTAGCAGTTCAAACATGTCAAATTGCACAGCAGAAGAAAATCTAGTGAAGCACTTATACTATGTAAAAAATGTGTTACAATCATCTCAATGATGTTGTTGTTGTGTACCATCAAATCGGTGCCTATTCATAACGACCTTGTATAGTTTCTGAGGTTGTAAATCTTTATGGAAACAAAAAGCTCATCTTTCCCCTGCAGAGGAGCTGCTGGATTCAAACTGCTGACCTTGAGGTTGGTAGTCCGACGCTTAATCACTATGCCACCAGGGCTCCTTAATCAACTCAGTAGCAACAGGTTTGTTTGATTTTTAATTAACTGAAGGGGATGCAGTTCAAATCTACCCAGTGGTGCCATGGTAGAGCAGCTTGGCAATATGCCCAGAATCAACTTGACAGTCGTGGGCTTGGTTTTTAGAATCCTATCAACTAGGGTCTAGATTTACTACAATACTTCAGAATCGTTTTCAGTGGCTTATACCCATCTGTGAATTCTGAATACATAATTTTCTTTTCATATAAAGAGACTATGGTGCTGGTTGTGCACCACCCGAGTCAGTTCTGACTCATGGCAAACCTGGATAGGGTTTTCAAGGCTGTAAATCTTCACAGGAGCAGAAAGCCTCATCTTTCTCCCACTTCGCTACCAAAGAAAACTGGGGAGCACAGTGACTCCACAAGATAAGCACCGGACTGCGAACCACAAGGTTGGCAGTTCGAGCCCATTAGCCACTCCCAGAAGAAAGATGAGGCTTTCTGTTCCCTCAAAAGTCTTAAAGCCTAGAAAAACCCTGTACAGGGTCATTATGAGTCAAAACTGACTCTACAACAAATCTTTAAAAACAGTTCATATGCATATCAATTCACTCATTGAAAGTGTATAACAATGATGTTTTAGAAATATTCACAATCATCCCATCAATTTTATAACATTTTCATCATCTGGAAAAGCAGCCAAATGCCTGTTAAATAACTCCCCATTCCCCTAGCCACTGGCAATCACAAATGGATTGTTTCTATTGATTTGCCTATTCTGCATATTACCTATAAATGGGATCTTCATATGTGGCCTTTTGTGTGTACCTTCTTTCAATAAGCATAATGCTTTTAAGGTTCATCCATGTTTGAGAATGTATCAGTACTGCATTCTTTATATTGCTGTGTGCCCGTAGAGTTAGTTCTGACTCATAGCAATGACCAGGTAGGTTTCCAACAGTAGTTGGTGGGTTTAAACTGAGTACTGTTTGGTTAGTAGTCCAGTCCTTAGCATGAAGCGTCACACTGGGGATCAATTTTTTTTATTGTTAAATAATATCCTATTTTGTAGGCAAATATCATTTTTATTTATCTATCGATGGACATCAATTTATCTATTGTTAGGCATTAAAGTTTTATAAATACTGTTACATACAAGGTTCTGTGTGGACATGTTTTCCTTTTGTGTATTTAAGAGTGGGATTGCTAGGTCATGCTATACTTTTTTAAGTGACTACTTCTGGTAATTTTTCTCATTTCTTCCAATATATCACACTGCAGACAATCCCTGCTCATTTCAGTGAATGCGCCCACCTAGAGTGGTCCCTCTTTTGCTTAGCATCTGGAATGAACAGGGAAACCAGGAACCATTACACTTGTTAGAAATATGTATGTTGTTGTTGTTAAGTACGGTGGAGTCGGTTCCTACTCATAGTGACCCTGCACAGGGTTTTCAAGGCTGTAAATCTTTACAGGAGCAGAACGCCTGATTTTTCTCCAGTGGAACTGCCGGCCTTGAGGTTAGCAGCCTGATTCGTAACCACTATGCTACCAGAGTTCCAATAGTAAAAATAATAATAATGAAATTCTGATCAAAGGCCTATATTGCTCAATTACAAAAGCAACTCACTCCCAGCTTTACTTCTACTATTGGATGTGTTCTGGGTAGTAGAGAGTGAAGGACAATCTCAAATAGTAAAAAAAAAAAAAAAAAAAAAAAAAAAAAACTCAGAATTGGGACTGGTAATTCAAATTGCTCAATTCCTCAAGTGAAGCCAGAACAAAGATGTTTGCCTGTTAATTCAATCAACAGTGGAAACTTCATAGTCTTCACTCTAGGACAGTTCATGGTTTCAGTTAATTTAATGAAAGAGGACTTTAAAATATATAACCTGCAATTATTGCACAAAATTACAATCTCTTTAATATACACTTAAGAAACCTTTTTTCTATTATCTATTGAAAGAAAACTACAGATGACACATTGAAGACTAAGGTGCACCTGACCCAAGCCATGGTGTTTTCAATTACCCACTGGTGGTATAGTGGGTTACATGACTATGACTTGGGCTGCTAACCACAGGGTCAGCAATTCAGTCACTCTGTAAGAGAAAGATGAGACCTTCTGTTTCCTTAAAGATTTTGTTATTACTGTTAAGTACCATATCAAGTCAGCCTTGGAAACCCTATACAGGATCACTATGAACTAGAACCAATCAAAGGTACACAATAACATTTGCATGTGAAAACAGGGCAAGGAATAAAGAAGACTACAAAAGAACTGTTAATTTTTAATCAAGGTACTGGCAAAGAATACTGACGTAGGTACCATGGACTGCCATAAGAATGAACTAATCTGTCTTTTAAGCAGTACAACCAGAATGCTCCTTAAAAGTGAGGCTGATGACACTTCGTCTCACATACTTTCAACAAGCTATCAGGACGATACAGTCCCTAGAGAAGGACATCATGCTTAAACATAGAAACAACTTGTGGATGGTGCAAGACCAGAACCACTATGAGTCAGAACCGGTTCTTTGGCACTTAACAACAACCAAGATGTGTATTCCTAATAGGCTATTGTTTGAAAGGTTGATGGAGTGGGTGTGTTTTTAGAAATGCAAAAATATGCAGGCATTCTAAAACATTTGCTGTGGGTGTTTTATCAGAATTCCACCTCAAAGCTGAAGTTCTAGCAACATTTATTTTTCAAGCTTCTAGTCCTGGTGTGGCGCTGTGGGTTAATGCGCCAGACTGCTAAGCTGTTTGAACCGCAAGGTCTGCATAACAACAACAACCTTTACAACTATGTTCAGAAAACTAAAGTCTTCCAAGTGTCAAGTAGCACTTTAAAATAAAGAAGAGTCCACAGAGAAAGAAAAGTTTATCTTTCATTATCTTCTGGTAAGGCTTCTTAAAAAAAAAGTTTTAATTACTAATCTCCAAAATATAATTTAAATGCCAAAATCAAGAACGTGTTACCAGAATTATTTGCAGCTCAGCAACAGATTTAGATAATAAGATTACATTTATAACTTTAGAGTATTAATTTTCTGCAACACCAAGAAGCCAATGTAGAATCAACATTTTATCTTTTTAAATACATGTAGATTAGTTTCAGGGAAATAAGGAAATTATCAAGTATAGCATTTTTTCAAAAATTGCATAAAAACTTTATAATCAAGGAAAATTTAAATGTAAAATTGTTGTTGTTAAATACCGTGGAGTCAGTTCCAAAATTATGAACTATATACTGATACAAAGGTACATAAATTTTCAATCTACCATTATTTTCACTGAATAATGGATCTGTGTCTTTATTGTGTTTTCCACACCAGTAATTTAAAAAGCAGTAAATAAAAATATAATAAATGACTATGAATACTACATTATAGTTCAAATACATCTGGGGGAAAATCTT